TAGTCCTTAGAAGATCTTCTGTCTCCTTATGTTGTTAAAACCCCACAAACAAATAGTCATTGGGCAACTGTGGTTTCAGCATCAGTTTAACACTCTGGTTTCCTAGTCTCTCTTTACTTCTGACCCCTAGTGTTTTCTTCCACTGAGTATACCTAGCTATTTATTTTCAGAGCTGTTATATTTAGCTTAGTGTATCTGAATATTTTATATTGGGAGGTTTATAAGGATGTTAGGTCCACCCAACTAATTTTCTTGCAGGAGCCTACTGTTTTTCCTTTCTCCACTTTCTCTTCCTGCCTATTTACTAACTTAATTTTCCTAAAATACTATTTGTGTACGATGATATTCCTATTCAGAAACTTTTAAGTCTAATTTTTTTAGCTCAGCATTTAAAATGTTTCTGGCCCCAATGTACTTCAACAACACTATGTGATGGTTTTCTGGAAACACTCCATTTGAGCCATACTGCTCTACTCACTGTTCACCAAAGTCCTTGGACCTTCCTGCTACTGCTCTTTCATTCATGTTGATTCCACTACCTGGATGAAACCTCATTCCCTCTATATTCTGCGTATCTGTTTATGCTCATGCATTTCTCTCCTGCCTCTGAATCTTCATAGTACATTGTTGTAGTTTGAGTCCTTAGGAAGCAGACACCAAGATGGAGTTAGAATTCCAGAGATTCATTTGGGGTTATGCCTGTGAAGAGAAGAGGGCCAGGAGCAGGAACAGGAAAGGAAAGCCTCTAGACCTTAATGCAGGTCTGATACCCATGAAAGGAGAGTGACCAGAAAGAGCCTCAGACTCCCAGGCAGCTCTGAGAAAGTACTGACTAGCCCAGTGGCCAGTTCCAGTACAAAAATTCCTCACTGAGGAGCCCCACATTGGGCAAAAATGGCCAGGCCTGTGCTTAGTTGTTGGCTGAAGACTGCCTGGGCAGCCCTTGACTCAGATGCTATGGTGGATCCTGAAGGTGCTGGATCAGCAAGTTCTGTTTAAAGGGTAATCTGAGTGGTGCACCTGTGTGGCCACCACATGTTTGTGTGGTGTTTAGTAATAGGGTTTGCCATATGTCATCTAATATGGCTCCCCTGCTTGCTACATCCCTCACCAGAGTGATACATTTGTTACCA